ATGACGGGGCCCAGTGCAAAACCTGTTGCTGCTTTTGTGTCAACCAGGACTAGTGATGCTTCTGACAGTATTCTCCCTTTTCTCACATTTAAGCGAACTTAGCCTCTTTTACCTTTTTAAATTAAAAAAACTGATATTACTAATTCACATTCACTATGGGAAAATTAAATAAGGAAGAAGGGAAAAACACTGTAATCTCACTGTGTAGAGAAAAAAAAGCATGCTAAGTAATAATTCATTTTTACCCAATATTTTTGATTTAATAAGGTAGTGGAAAGCACTGATTTTCCCCAAATGTTTTTTTAACTTTTTTCCTTCTTTATAATGCTATCCATTACATTTCCACTGTACTTAAATTTCTTTTTTTTTTTTTTAAAGATCTTATTTATACAAGCACTGGGTACAGTCAGAAGCGCTGAGAGAATTCACCAGAGCCAGAGCGGGGAGCAGAGCAGGCAGAAGGACCGAAGGACACTGCTAGAGGTCTGCGCGCCATGCGGGACCTCCTCGGGTCCGGGGATTGAACCGGCACTGCAGAGGCTGCGGGCAGCTTCGCAACCCAGCGCTCAACCGCTGCGCCACCGGGGAGGCCCTGTACTTAAATTTCTAAGACAGTTCTATTGACTGTCTTTTTATAGTTTTATAATTGTGTGAGAAAGGTAGTATTATACCCATTTTACCCATAAAGAAACTGAGTGATTTGCCTAAGATGAAACAGTTTATAAATAACTGAGTCTAAGACCCATGTTTTTCAGGGCTTAAATATAAACATTTTCTATTCCTGCAGCTGTAAAAATAGCTTTAGATATACATACACACGCCATTGCCATTTTTCACTAGTAAGTTGCTGTCATTCATCAGAACCCGAAAGAAAATGAAATTCAACCAGAATTCCTGACTATTAGCATTACCTAGAGTTTTGATATATCTAAGGTGATTAGCAAGATTGACTAGTTTCCAAAGATGTTGGGGATTGTGAAAATGAATAGAATATTTCTATTATCAAGCAAGTATTTTGCTTATAATATTAATATTGGGCATTTTCCATATCTCCAAGTAACTTGGTCAGAGGTGAGTAAGATTTTTAGTTTCTGTTTTCATTTGAACTTAAGGAAAAATGCCAAATTCCTTACATAGAGAAGGAAAAGCACAAAGACCACTGCCCCCTATGCTTTTAGTCTAATAAGAAAGGAAGAAAAATGAAAAAGAAAAAGGAAAGGAGGGAGAAAAAAAGCTGAGGCAAGCACAGACAAATAATTCCAAGCTCTATACTGCTATCATGAATTCTCAATATACTGGGGAAGCTGCCAGGATTTTGCTTCCCAGAATGAACTATTGCCAAAACATATCAACATTTGCAAAAACTATAAGGATCAGATAGATAACTTCTGTTTCTTGAAATAGCAATAAAGACAAATAAAAGTCCATAGATAATAAAATTAGGTAAACATCCAACATTTGTTATATAACATAAAAACTACTGCTCAATGCCTCTAATTTTGCCAACATCTATGTTTTGAGAAATGTTTTCTAAATTAGTGTCTATTGAAGATAAAATCTTTTGAAAGAAGAAGTACATGTGTGTTTTTATGAATCAAAAAGAGAAAATATTGGAGTAGATTCATTGATTATTTCATTCATGTACAATACAGTTATTTATTATATTACATATGCTTTGTTAATCATCACACTTAATTACAAGGATAAATAAAATATACCTACAAGAATTGCATGGTTAGTGGGGTGATAAGACATAAGTAGATGACTGAGGCTCAGGGAGAAGTTTTAAGCAGGACACTACAGAGAAGAAAGAGAAAGTAGCTCATAGCTGTCTATAGAAGCTGGGTGCTAGTCTCAGAGAGGAGAGGACATTTGAGCTGGCTGTAAAAGGGTGAAGAGGGGAAGCAAACCAGTATACCTCATGCCTACTACATTGCCAGCACTGTGCTAGATACTCTACTTCTATTCTCAGTAGAAGACCCAGTGGTAAGCCAAGAAGTGTAGACATAATGGATTCAAGGCATGGTAATATGCAAAGCACTCTTAGGGAGGGATTGCATTGAGTGCTATTCAGAAACCAGAAAATAGAGCTCAATATAGTCTGCTTTTTTTTTGTTTTTTAGAATAAAGAATTTAAAGGCAACAAGTATGAGTTTTGCTCCAAATCAGACTCTTAGAAAAGAGTCTCCAGTATATAAATAGATGTGGCATCATTTATATTGGTTAATATTTGGTTATTAACCAATTTCTTATTGGTCAAAGAAAGATGTCTGAGATTTAGAGCTGACAAGTTGACAAGTAGGTCCATTTTTGAGGTTTTAACACTTCTTTGTGAAATTGCTCTCCACAATTGTCCTAGCTTCAGTCTGTTGGAATCTCACCTCCACTGATACTAGGTGTTCTCACTTTAAAATCTGTGGCCATTTGTTTGGCAAGTAGCAGTTTCTTACTGTGAGTTTAATTTTGTCTTCTATAAAATAATGCCAGCTTTTTATTATGTTAATTGGTTACCAGTATTCACTCTGTGGACAGTTGCCTATTTGTATCCTTGGCCTATTTTTCCAGTGAGCTTTTTCTTTTTTCTTATTAACGTACTAGAATATTTTTCCATGTTGAGTATATTAAGAATCTAATTTATGTTGAGAATGTGTTTTTTAAAAAATTGAACTATGGCCTTGTAATTTGTATATATTACTTATACAAATGCCAATTTTTAATTATGTTCTTACGGTTATTGTAGTTTGGGCATATATTAATCCAGTCAGAAAGTATTTATAGAGGTCATATTTTGTAACAGGTGGTTAGGACACAGCAGTGAATAAAACAAATGAAGTCTGACTCTGTAAGTTTTATTTTGGTGAGGGGACATAGAAAAAAAAAGATGAATTGTGTGGTGGAGGCAGAGGCCATAAAAAAACTGAATGTGACTTTGGTAAACCCAAGTTGTGTTTTTATTTTATAAATAACTAAAAATCTATTTGATTAAATTTGTGGTAGTTGAGGAACATTACAAAATGATAACAGGACCAAATTTCTCAACAAGACATCACAAACTTAATGTGTATGTGTAATCTAACAACAGAGCTTCAAAATATGTGGAGAAAATACTGTTTGAAACTGAAATATCAAACAGAACTCAATTACAGTTAGAGATTTCAACTGTCCTCTCTCGATAATGATGGAAGAAATACAAACATGATTTAAACAACATTAGCTAATAACTGGATTAACATTTATAGAATTTTCCAGCTAACAACTGCACATTCCTTTCCTGTGCACATGAACATTCACTATGCAGACTATATCCTGGGATATATATGTCTCAATTAATTTAAGATTATTGATATTATACCACAAGGGAATAAAATTAGGGAAAGAATATAGATACATAGACAATTCCCCAAATATTTGGTTACTAAAAATAGGTATTCAAATAGTCCATGTGGCAAAGGAAAAAAATGGGAAAAAAAGAAAATGGAATATTTTGAATTAAATGAAAATATAAATACAGCACATTAAAATGTTATATTTCTCTTAGTAAGAAGAAAGTTTCAAAATTAATAATCTAAATTTCCACTTTAAGAAACTAGAGAAAGAAGGGACTCCTCTGCTGGTGCAGCAGTTGAGGGCTGGGCTGCAAATCTGCCCGCAGGCTCTGCAGCACCAGTTCGATCCCTGGCCACCAGTGAGGGTCCCACATGGCGCGACAGACCTCTCCTGCCGTGCCTGCTGCTCCCCTCAGCAGTGTATTTCGTCAGTCTGCCTGTTCTGTTCCCTGCTCTGGCTCTGGTGAATTCTCTCACCCTCCCATGCTTCTGACTGTACCCAGTGCTTGTATAAATAAATAAATAAATAAATAAATCTTTAAAAAAAATAAAAGAAACTAGAGAAAGAAGAGCAAATTAAACCTAAAGATTTAGTAGGAACTGTTGGAAGGACATAAGCAATAGGAAAAAAATGAAACCAAAAGTGTTTTTTTGCAAAAATACCATAAAATTGATAAAATTCTTGTCAGACAGATAAAGGGAATAAACTAGAAAACACAAACTACTGGCATCAGAAATAAGAGACCTCATTACAGATACTAGAGAATCTTTTTTTTTTTTTTTTTTTTTTTTTTTTTTTTTAATAGAGGCATGTTTTATTTATTTATTTTATTTGTTTGTTTCGTTTTTACATGCACTGGGTACAGTCAGAAGCGCGGGAGGGTGAGAGAATTCACCAGAGCCAGAGTGGGGAGCAGAGCAGGCAGAAGGACTGAAGTACACTGCTGAGGGGAGCAGCGGGCGGCAGGAGAGGTCTGCGCGCCATGTGGGACCCTCCTCCGGTTGCCGGGGAGCAGCCGGGGATCGAACCGGCGCCGCAGAGGCCGCGGGCAGCCTCCCAACCCAGCGCTCAACCGCTGCGCCACTGGGGAGGCCCTACTAGAGAATCTTAAAGAAAAATGAGACTGAAAAATTTCAAGCTGCTGTTTTAAGACAAAGTCTGTCTTTTCCTCGAAAAAACAGAAACTTGTGCACAATTAGATTTCTGTGAAACTGTTGCTTCTCAGCACAGTCAACATTTTTAATTATAACTTTTAACCAAAGTCACATATATTTTGCAGAGAAAACTGTCCTGGGGCACGAGAGGGGCTGGACAGTGGGTGGGTAATTGTGAACCATCACACCACACATAGAAAGAAATGCTAGTTTTTAAATAGACAAATCCATCAATTTCCTTTATGAATTCTGAACTTACAAGTATTTACAATCTCCACCAAATTATTTCACTAACATTTTTATTGGCATTTGCCCTAAATTTCTAAATTACTTTGAGAATTATCAGCTTCTTTTCGATATTATACTGCTGTAGTCAACATGGGTTTCCTTCTGTGTACTCAAGCTCCTCTGTAAAGCTTAATGACTTTTTGGTTGGGTCTACATGTTTATTGCTGAGTATATTTCCAAGTATTTTGGAGATATCCCATTTCTCACAGCTGCTCACTCTCTCCCAACCAGGTTCTGACCACATCCGTGAGAAAGATGGACTCTGGGCTGTTCTAGCTTGGCTTTCTATTCTAGCCACCCGCAAACAGAGTGTGGAAGACATTCTCAAAGATCACTGGCAAAAGTATGGCCGTAATTTCTTCACCAGGTAAGTCACAGCCCTATTGGGATATGAACATGGGCTTATGAATACAAATTCTTTCCTGTATTATCATAATAAAACTTCAGTTCATCCAGCATGATGAACTGATTGGGAGTTTAACAAATAATTTAGTCATGGTTGAGATGAAGTCAACTTTTATGTTAGTCCTAAAGAATGAGGCTTAAAATATTAGTTGTACTCAAATTAATAAACGTTTTGTTAAGTCTTAAATCTAGTTGTCAGGTAGACAAGATAACAACGTTGGATTTGGATTCAGAAGAATAGGTTAGGAGTTTATTTCTGTCACTTGGTAGAATGGGAAGTCATATAACCTCTCTTTGTACTCAGTTTTCTCATTTGTAGAAATGAGAATAACAGTTCAGTTATTGAGTGGATTAAAGGAAATGTGAGTCTGAGAGTGTTTTATAAACTCTGGAACACTAAAAGTATGGAAACATTCTTTTCTGAAATTATGGAAATGATTATGCTTAGTCCAAATCAAATTTTCTGACTCATTAAAATAGATCCCCAAAGACTTGTCAATACTTCATTCATAGATTCAACAATATTTACTGTGTGCCTACTTTCCACCAGACACTGGGGCTTCAGCCGTGAATAAAATACGTAGAATATTTTGTAATTCTTCTTTGCTCTGCATGCTTCTATTTTCAAAAAGGCATTAGCATTTTTCTTTTCAAGTAGTGCTTTTCCCTCATTCCAATTTACCTTTCTTCTAGTAATTGTAAAAAAATCTAACGAAAGTTTTTCTGGACCTCACTTTCTAATTATGGAAAGAAATAGGAGTTAGATAAATTGTAAGAAATGTGTAGATGTAATTTCTCTGAATCTCAGTTGCCTCTCTATAAAATTGGTGAGTAGAAAACTTAAAAAAAATATATTGTCCATTTAATAGTCTAAAATCTCTGGATAGTATAGAAAGAATTTGGCCTTAAGTGACTTGACTTCCTTAATCAGAATCATTTTATCAACTTTGGACAAATTTATTGCTGTCTTCTTCCTTCAAGTTATTCATTTGTGGAAGGTTTAAGTAATAACTGCCATGTGGTTTTGTACAGTAGCTCTGGGATCGAAGGCAAGAATCTTTACTCTAAGAACCAGAAAAACCTGGTAATTCAGAACACCAGTTTTGAACTCTGTAGAGTCTGGGATATCACAAAAGTGTGACCATGTTTGTTTTTCTGCTCCATGGCACCAGCAAACACCTAATTCATAGTTGTCACTGTCATAATATTCTTTGAATAGATAAATGGATGCGTTAATAAGTGAACCATTAGCCAGAGTGGATTAAGGTTAGGAAGAGTGGTTCAGAGAAATAGTCACTCTGGGATTAGTTAAAAGACTCCTAAAAAGTATTTTAACATATTTTTTATTAATTTCAAATAACTGCTAACCACGTATTGCAAACAAAGCCCTTAGAACTTACGTTCATGTTTAGTTATTTAACAAAAGTGCCACGCACTTTTGCATGCATTGTTTCCTGTCTGCCTTAAAACAGTTATTGATAAAGAAGTAAATTCCGAGAGATGAAGCAACTTGCCATAGTCACACTATTAGTAACCAGTAGAGGTTGAATTCACAGCTCATTCTGATTCCAAAGTCCAGATTCTTTCCATTATACCCCTCTGTGCCTAGGATTTATAGAACATTTCCCTTGAACACCCAAAGGTCATAGATGTAAAGCACTAACACCTGGTTGTAATTTCTTGCTGTTTATCATTTTAACTGGGGAAAAGAGCTGACTTCAAGATTAAGGGGACTGTTGTCCTTGATTCATAGAATCCTGGAGCCAGAATAGGTTGGCCTTAATTCCCTGGTATTTGTCATGTCTCAAAGGTGTCGTCTTGCACATATCATATTTGTTTCACTATCACAAATAAATATAGACTCTGCTATCTTGAGCCTCTAAAAAATAACTCTCTCAAGAGTGGGGGTGCCACTAGGTCAAGAAAGCCACCTGTAAGAGTCTTGAACCTCATAAGAAAGAAGTCAAGAACAATTCTTAGGGGAAAAATAAGTCATAGGATTTCATTTGTGCGGCCCTTTCCCCCCCTTGGCCTTTCTGCATCTGACAGGGTGACTCTAAATGCCAAAATCCACTCTCCCTTAAAGGAGGGGGCGTTTCAGATGTAAAGAGTTAAAGTCTGGCTCCTTCATCTGGTCAGTGAAAACTTGGCCTCGCTTTCGGAAGCTCCTGTGGGGACTGGAACTCTCCTTATCTAAAATCTCAGTCGAATTGGGCAGGTCCTAGACTGGGAGCAGTCCCAGTAATTGCCCCAAAGAAGTTCTACGGGTTTGGAAGAGAAGTACCTGAGTCATGAGCAGTTTTATCAGAATCCTCTAGAGATAACACAGCTTTTAATTCTACCTCTGCAGTATGTGTGATTAAATATTAGATAGTATCTCTCAAAAGCCTTTGAAGCTTCTTAGAGCTTTATTCTGTAGAAAAGCCAAGATTTCTTCTTATTCAGAAGCCCCTTAGTCCTTCCTTAAAAACCCTTCAAATCCTTCCTTTCATCCCTGGCCTACTCCATCTCTAGGAAATGACATGCGCATCTTTTTGCTAGCTTCTTCTGAAGTTGGGGGTTTGAGGGGAAGACCAAACAAATAATGGAAAAAGTGCTGAGCTACCTCGGTGTACTCTGAAGTCAGGGGACCTCAACTCTAACTTCTTCCAGGTACGATTATGAGGAGGTGGAAGCCGAGGGGGCAAACAAAATGATGAAGGACTTGGAGGCCCTGATATCGGATCGCTCCTTTGTGGGGAAACAGTTCTCAGCGGGTGACAAAGTTTATACCGTGGAGAAAATTGATAACTTTGAATACAGTGATCCAGTGGATGGAAGTGTTTCGAGAAATCAGGTAGGAACAGATTTGTGTGTATGTGGGAGAGAGACCTCAAAGCTTCATCCTTGAAATCTTAAGGGCAAGAAAGAAAAAGGTCCCTGGGGCATTTCTCCTTTGTGGTCTTGTATTTTCTAGGGTAGCCGTTCTTATCAGACTTTCTGCTGCGTCACACATGACTTGCACATGTACCTTGAATAACTTCTAACACCATTTCATTCAACACCTTTCTGTTATAATGTTAATGAGAAAGAAAAGTTGGTTCCCAGCCAGGGTTACTATCTAGAAAGTGATTAGTGATAAATGAGAATTACCTATATCCTTCCCATGATGACTAACTGGGGAATGTATGCTGTCTTTACTGCTGAATAGCATGATTAAATACTGGATGGGGTTTGGTGACAAATAGCAGATGAGGAGTGCTATTTTCCTATTGGTCAGTCTTTGGCTTTATGCAAAATTCTTCATATGGAAGAATTGACACAATTGTAAGAGCTGGCTTGCCCAGCCTTCTTACCTGGGTTCATAGAATATCTGGTGGTATCCCTACCTTTTCCCCTGAAGCAAAAAGATATGCTGCTAAGGGAGGGAAAGGTAAGCGCAGCAGAGAGAGAGGGCCAGGCTTGGTCAAGGCTTGGTCGGGGCCGGGCTTGGTCAGAAATAGCTGGTCATTTTCCACTTGTTCTCTTTTTGAGGCTTTCAGTCTATGTTTTGTAATGAGTTCTGCCACTAGTTCTCCTGAAATCTCTTCTGCCTTGCTTTCAACCTGTTCTGTCCTAGTTTCCCTTGTGATCTGGGGATTGAATTTCTACATCTAGCAGTTTATTTATTTTACTTATTTATAAGCTTCAAACTGGAATGGCTAGTCTGTAAATCACAGGGAAGTGGAGAGGAAGAGAGGGCAAGCCTCATGTCACCTCGCCTCCCTGGGCCCATGTCTCCCCTCTGATGCTGGGAATGCCTCTCCTGTGTGAGCTCAGCCCCTCCACTGGATGTAGTGATGGGATGGCTGAGGGTAGACTCATGGGGCTCAACTGCTGCCATTTATCAAGGATTTAATCTTTGATTGATCAAGTATGGATGAAATTAGATATCCTAACAGACCTCTTGTAACTTTCCAGCCTTCAATCTCCCTGCCAGAATGTTGGGGGAAAAATTCTCTGCTTATCTTTTTTTATTTTTATTTTTGCAGGGTTTGCGACTAATTTTTGCAGATGGTTCTCGCATTATCTTTCGACTGAGCGGCACTGGGAGTGCCGGGGCCACCATCCGATTGTACATCGACAGCTATGAGAAGGACATTGCCAAGATCTACCAGGACCCCCAGGTAATGCCCAAGCCCTGACAAGTTCTTTCTGTTGGAGAGAGTAATATGGTTTCCTTAAGCCCGTGTTATACCACAATTCGTTTCTCAAATGATCAAGCAGGTATGCTCACTTTCTCCTTGTCTCTGTCAGTACCTCTTAACAACCATAATAGCTAACAATTATCTAAACACTTTCTATCTGCCAAGCTCGTTCTAAACCCATTACATGGATATATGCTTGACTTTCTCAAATGAGGTGGGCTCTGTTATTATCCTTACTACAGACAAGGAAATTGAGGCACATAGAAGTTAATAGGTTCACACGCCTGGTAAGTGGAAGATTTACGATAACTAATCTTTCAATCAGCCTCTCATGGTGTTCTGATCTGTCACTGATTATTTACTGCTTTGCTTGGTCTGGTTGCCTGTCCTGGCAGAACATACTTTGGTTCTAGATTTGGGTGGGGAGGGAGACAGTTTCATGGCCTCACAGGAAATGTCTTTATGGAAAAGTCTGCGGACTTGCAGTATGGTGGTTTGCATTCCTAGCCCCACCTAGAGTTTCCAGAAATATGCCAGAGTGAGGAGGGCCCCTGGAAGCCAGAGGTGGGACAGAGGGCACAAAGGGAAGCAGTGACACATAGAACAGGCTTTCCCCACTTATGTCTCTCACAATACTGATGAGTGGTCTTGGGAGATACTCCCCAACCAGAGATCCACAGCCAAAAAAAGTTTAGCAAGTATTGTGGTATACTGACCTCTTTTTTGGCAATTCATAACATATACCACATCTTAAAAGTTCTGAGAAGATTTGCAGTAAAAGACACCCGTTTAAATAGCATTCACCCTGCTTATTTTTCTGCAAGCCTTTTTCCTTCTAACACCTAGTAAAATCCTGTGGAACTCTTTTGGAAACCCCTGGCATTGTGGTTTAGAGCATAAGTTTTAGCATTAGATAGCTCTTGTTTTAAATTTGGTAAAAAGATAAAACATGGTTTTCTCTGGGATGGAGAGAAATGGTGCCCTTGAGAGATACAAATCTCTTGGTGCCCTTGAGGAGGTACAAATCTCTTAGGCTTGCACAAGGGAAACAAGGGGAATGTGGGAGAAGAAGGTGTTAAGAATGACACCTGGTTGTTCATTCACTTTACATGATTCACTGTTATTTCAATTCACTGAAATAGGGAATGCTAAAACTAGGTTTTTGGAAGAAAGACTGTGTCTTTATTTTTAGATTTTTAGAGTTTTAGGTGCCTTTGGGACATCAGAGTGGGCAGATACATGAATCTGGAGCTCAGAGTCAATGTTAGGACTGGAGCTATGACTCTGTGTCTAGAAAAAATGATGGAGAAAGTTTTCTCTTTGTGTCTCGCTCAGGTCATGTTGGCGCCCCTCATTTCCATTGCTCTGAAGGTGTCCCAGCTCCAGGAAAGGACAGGACGCACTGCACCCACTGTTATAACCTAAGAAGACCAGCCCGATGCAGTACGTCCCTCCACCCTAAGACCTTCCAGGTCATCTGATTGAAGAGCGTGGACAGAAACAAAGTGTCTTCACGCAGCCTTTTTAGGATTTGGTTTTACACTAACCAGTTGTTGATGAATGGCACATTAATGAGGTCCTTCCTGTTGAGATGACTGCGGCAAACATATGGGAAAGAGAGGGCCCAAGGGCTTATGCTGATATCAGTCCCTTTTCGTGCACTTCTGCTGTGTGGGTATTTGTGTCCTTAGCACTAGTTTTTGTTTACACTACAATGTTAGATGGACATTAGCTTACGAGGCCCTTTTTCATCCTTGCGATATACCAATGAAATGACAGTACAAATTCCTTTCTCCTGGGTGAATCTTTCCCACTTCCCCCTCGTTTCCCCCCCATCCCCCCACCCCCCATTTACTGTTTACATGTACTCTAACAAAATGCAATTTCTGGTGCCTTCTCTCCAATCAGTTTTTTCCTCAGAGTGAGACGTACTTGTCTAAAGATTTCTGCCTTGTTTTGCAAAAAGTTCCCATTCACACAAATATTTTGGGATATTAAAGCAAAATAAGCTACTATTTCTTGAGGCTTTTTTTTTTTTTTGGTCTTAAATACAAAATGCTCTTGATTCTAGGAGAAGACAAATTTTTCTTTTTTGAAAAAGAAGAAAAGGGTATTGTATTTTGTTTTGATGTCCTAGCTGAAAAACAAAATGTTCTCTGTCCTAGGTTTAAAATCTTTAGATTCAAGAACTATAATTTCAAATTAGTAGGGTCAACTGAACGCTGGGTCCTTCTGAAGCAGATAAATTAAGCTTGACGTGGTTAACTTGGAATGATGGAAAGGAAGATAATTTCCAGGAGATTTTAAATAGCAAAGTATTGCCATGTGCCTTGTGGTGCTGGGATTCCATGACTGCTGTAGAGGGGATGGCGGCAGAACTCACAAAATCCCAGAGCAGGGTTACTGGCATTTGGCTGGAAATCTTGATCCCTCTGGCATCTCATACATCTTCAAACATTTATATTCAACCCACTAGTGTAACATAGTAGTTAAAATATAGTCAACAGGACTGAGGTTGAGTCCCACTTGAGACCTTGAGTGACCTCTGAATATCATTCTCCTCATCTTTAAAATAGGGGTGAAAATAGCAATGATTGATGGTATGGGGATAAGGGTGGATATGGTGGCATAAACCTGAGGAAGTGTGAACTTCTTCTCCTCAATAGTATACAGTATTGTAAACCAGTGTTATCTTTCTAAAAAAAAATTCATATTCAGATTCACATTCCTTGAGAACAGTAACAAAATGTTTCTTAACATAACAATAACAAAAAGGAAAATAGCTCTAACTTTGTAGGGTCACTGAGAACATTAAGAGAGTTGACCTATGAAAAGCAATGGGCATAATATTTATGTCTCATCAAGTTGTCAAATACATGTGAACAGGATTATGTCTACAATATTGCTTCTAGAATTTAAAGTACGGGAAAGACAAAAACCGTGACACTAATATTTGGAATGCATTTCATGGTTTGATAGGCACTTCCTACAAAATTGCCTTGCCATCTGGGTTATTCCAGAGAGGCAGCTTAGCTGTTAACCCCTCATCTACCCAGAATGGAATCCCCTTCCAGCTGGCAGGGTCTTTATCTGGGGTGGGATTTCCAGTATTGCCATTTAACCAGTAAACAAAACTATAGCAATGACGAGTCGAAAGTGAATACTTAAACTGACCATTAACCCTGTGCCCAGCACAGTTCTAAGTGCTTAGCATATACTATTTAAATGCTCCCAATAACTCTACCAGGTAGCAACTATGAATGTTCCCGTTTTAAGATGAGGACCAGTTACTCCCCCAGGAATGCAGCCTTTGCCTTCTTTTCTACTGACTGGCTTCTTCTAAGCTGTTTCTAACAGGTGCCAGAAAGGTGGGCATCTGTATTTTACTTATTAAAGGGTGGTTCTGTGTGTCTTAGGTGCCAGGGACTCCATTAGTTTTGGCATAGTTATTCTTCTGGCCCCCAGGAATCTTGATAACCCAGTTATCAGTTAGCCAGAAACATTTGTAGCCCACATTGAGTGTGAGAGGTCTCGAGAAGGGTAGCATGAGAAACAGTCACAGCCCTCTAGCCGCCTGTAAGACTGGCTGGCAAGTTAAGGCCAGCACTAAAAGAATGCAGGATGTGAGCCTTCTGAGCTGGGTTAGCAATACCCACTGTTAGGACCCAAATTTTCTAAGCACTTACTCTGTTTCAGATGTTGGGCTTTCCAGTAACTCTCCACATGAGATATTATTATTCCCATTTTAGAGCTGAGGCAGTTGGAGCTCAACTGAAGCTTAAGTAATTTGCTCCAAGCCCCAGCTACCAGGTGGCAGAAGTGGAATTTTGACCCTGAATCTCACTCACTTTCCATGACCCTTTACCACCTCCCCATCTGTTGAATCAGCTGCAGACACTCTAGGTCCATGGCCCCTGGAATGGTGTCAAAAATTTCCTCCTTGTCCCTGATCATAATTCAGCTGTTTTCCCAGACCCTTCTTGGCTACAGGTTTGGGAGTTAAAAGTTCAAGGGAGGAAGTGGGAGGTAGCTGGGGCCCAGCCCGGAGCAATGGGGGTGGGCATGGGTAAGGGCCAATATTTCCCCTCTGTTGCTTCCAGACAGACACCCCAACACATGTGTCCCCCAAGAGTCAGAACCCAGAGAGGCTGGCCAGCAGCATGCAGCCAAGCTTCTCAGCTTCCCAGCATTGATGTGGTCTGTGAGTCAAGCCTGTTCTCTTTGGGGTGTGGCGAGGATTACAGTGAGAAAATTGGATTGGAACACTTTGGGTTCTTGTTCTGAAATTTCACTTTTTCCTTCCCTCTTGATATTCTTTTTTTTTTTTTTCAAAGAAGGCAAAAAGATTTTAATAATTGTACAAGACAGTTACAGAATTGATACTTGATTCTCCACCCCCAAGATGTCAATTTAATTTTGCAAGTGAAAATTTCTGTCTGGGTAGAGACATATCTCCAGTGATGTCAGGAGAGGAAATTTGATTCAAACTCCTTCATAAAGTGGGAGTAGTTCCCTCTTGATATTCTGCTCTCATTTTGGAGAAAGAAATTTCTGTTTAAGGATGTTCCCTGTGCCCAGAAAATGTTCAGGCCACTAGAGGACAAGGCTCTGCCTCATAGAGAAGAAAAGCAAAGGCCCCAACATGCTGTAGTTAAGGAGTCTAAACTTAGGGACCTGGGTTCCTCTCCTGCCCCAGAGTTCGTTTACCCATTCTGCTTTTTGCTGCATTTCTTGTTGACTTATTAGACAGAAATTGGCCTTACTGTATAAGGATCTTCCTGAAAACATAATATGTGAGAGACACAGTCCTCATGCCTTTATGTTCTGAACCCCAGATAGAAGAGATGGGATATAAGTAACAACAATACTCATGCACAGAGTGACTGCATCTTACCTGGATGACAGAGGAGTCGAGGCCTATGACATTTATTCCTGCCCCTGGATCCATTCTCGACATCACATCACAACTAGATGCTCGTTCGAAAGCTGAAGTCCAAATGCCTTTGCCTATGTAAGCTGCCTATGGCCTACATCACCAGCTCCTCTCCCTCTACTTTCTGCCTTGTATTGGATGCTTCAGCCACACAGAATCACCTCCAGTGTCCTGGAATACCATGCTCTCTTATCTCTGGCCTTTGTACCTTCTCTTCACTACCTGTATCATCTTTCCCTTGGACCCCAGCCACCACCACATTCCCCAAACCCCATTCATTCTTCAGGCTTCCCACTGAACATCTTTTTCTCCAAGGAGCTTTTCCTGAGCCTCCAGCGTGTTTTGAGTGCTTTTTCTAGTGTTCCTACAGCACCCTCTTCATAGTACGCATCACACTCTGTGTAAGCAACCAGTGGACTCTCCAAATCTGCTCTCTGAAGTCAGAGAAGGCAAGGATGCTTTTTTCCATCATGTTCTGTTGACTTGAGAGACAGTGGTCATGGTCATTTTACATAAAATATTTTATCACCCATTGCTACAAAACTTAATTGTGGGGGTAGTTAAGTAATCGTTCTATCAAATTAGCCTGAATACAAAGATGAATGATTTTTTTTTTTTCCTTGAGGAGTAGAATCAGCAAAGCCAGGCCCAGGCCCTGACCTCTCTGGGCAGATTTTGGGAAGGGAAGCCTTCATGGGGCGGCAGGGAGGGTGCACCAGCCCTGGGCAACACTGGCAGGGCACATAGATGCACTCTGGAAGGCTGAGAGGCTGTCCTTGGTTCCTAATATCAAAGCTAAAAGCATGGCCACAACTTGGCCTGTTATAATGCAAGGGACGTGAGATCACTGCCTACAAGAGCGTGTCTCATGTCTGTCTGCTTGTCCTATGGGAACTTTCAAGGACTGTGGTTTGGTTTTCACCACATGTGAAAGTATACGTGTGAAAAATGTGCGTGTAGATCCATTAAGTTGGATTTGTGGGTGTGGGCTAATAACTGTTTTCCAAAAAGTATTTTGTGTGTGTGTGTGTGTGTGTGTGTGTGTGTGTGTGTGTGTGTGTGATTCAGAATGCCACTCTCCATCTGACAGCAAGGCTGGTTAAGAGTCGCCATCTATTTGTTTTTCACGACAGTGTTGTTTCATGCAAGCTGTCTCCAGTGGCTTCTGACTTTATTTTTTTTTTTTTTTTTTTTATTTATACAAGCACTGGGTACAGTCAGAAGCGCGAGAGGGTGAGAGAATCCACCAGAGCCAGAGCGGGGAGCAGAGCAGGCAGAAGGACCGAAGTACACTGCTGAGGGGAGCAGCGGGCGGCAGGAGAGGTCTGCGCGCCATGTGGGACCCTCCTCTGGTGGCCGGGGAGCAGCCGGGGATCGAACCGGCGCCGAAGAGGCCGCTGGCAGCTTTACAACCCAGCTCTCAACCGCTGCGCCACCGGGGAGGCCCTGACTTTATTTTTTTACTGAGACAGGAGGGCTATTATTGTTCCAGTTAAAGAAATGAAAACTTGAAAAGTTTATGTGGTCAAATACCCTAAAATCTAGTGGTGCTGAACTTCATAGTAGGCTCACAGGTTCTGTGAGTCAGGAAATCAGTACAGGGTAGACAGCTTGTCTCTGCTCCAGTGTCTGGACCCTTACTTAGGAAGACTGGCACCCCAGAATGACTCAAAGGCATAGGGGCCCAGACCTGAAGGCTGGGCTCTTAGCACTTGCATCTGATCTTTTCATGTTGCCTGAGTTTCTCCCTGCACTGTGTTGGCCTCACAGGGACAAGAGAGCCAGGCACAGCTGTATTTTCCTTTCCTTCCAAGCTTCTGGAGCCATGCAGCATCATTTTTGCTGTATCTGCTTGCTTATGACCAACAAACTCAGACCAGCCCAGATTCAAGGGGAGGGGATTTACACTCTATCCCTTCTTGGGAATAACAAGGTCACATTGTAAAAGAATATGTAATGATGTCATGTTGCAGAAGAATATGTAGCCATCTGTGGAAAATACAGTCTATTACACTTCAAACTAGCATATCCCCCCCCCCACCAGTAAATATACCATTTTGAGTCATGTGGGCATGAAAATAAATATAATTTAGAATTTTTTTTTT